CAATACCATTCCATCTACCCGTTTCAATTATAAACTTATGATTAGTTGTTCGAAATTTACATAGCATGATCCGGTCCATATCACCAAGCTGTTCAATATAATTCTAAAAATTTAAAGATTCTTTGAATATCCTATAGCATGCTGTCTTAGAAGAATTAAAAACATCGCTTTTCCATTTCTGAGTATACTGGTCTTTTAAGATCTGTTTAACAGTGAACTTTAACCATTCTACATTTACATTTATAGTACTTCGCAAATCCCATATATAGCTTAAACCACATTCATTCAAGATTTTTCTGATATATAACAGCCACGGACTAGTTATACCATTTCTAATGTTACTTTTATATAAAGCAGTGTATAAAATATAAGAGTACTTGCTATCATGTGCCTGTAACAATTTAGACCAATAGGTAATCACGCGGACCTTTACACTATTTAATAGGGGAGAAGCCCCGAGTTCTCCGTAAACCATATAACTAGGAGTAGTTCTTTTACAATTTAATATCATTTTGCAAAACTTTAAATGTACACGCTCTATTGCTTTTATATTGCTATATCCCCATATTTCACCGCCATACAATAAGATAGGTTTAACAATTTTTTCAACAAATTATACAAACATTGGACAGACAAATTTAAATTCCTTCCTCTTTTTATAATGTCATACATAGCTATAGTAGCTTTCTTTATATTATTATTCTTAGCATATGTAAAAAAGCATGAACGTGAGAAAACTATACTCAAATAATTACAATTTTTAACTACCTCAATTTCGTCACCATCAAAATTAAAAGTAGGTAAATTTTGGTAACGACCTTTTGTGAAAATAGCACATTTTGTTTTACTACTATTAACTTTAAGTTTCCATCGACTACGATAATCAGTAAAAAGATCTAGTTGCTTTTGTAAATCTTGCGGACAGTCAGAGAACAAAATAGTGTCGTCTGCATAAAGTAAAACAAACATTTTCACATAAACATTGAGGTGTTCCTGGATCTGAATATTTACACAGTTTGCACCTATTACATCATTATGACTCATAAACTGTTCAAGGTCATTCAAATAAAGGCTGAACAAAAATGGCGAAAGATCTTCACCTGGCCTCAATCCATTTTCACACTTGAAATAAGCAGAATTTTCACCATTAAAAGAAATTCTAGACTTAATTCCTTGATACATATTATGGATGATATTAAAAATTTTGCCGTTAATTTGATTGTGTAACATTTATTCCAAAGGCCGTTTCTCCACACCTTATCAAACGCCTTCTCAAAATCTATAAAAACGCAAAAAAATTTTTTCTTCAATGTATTAGTTAGTGAAATAAAACTATACAAAATAAATGAGTTATCAATGGTCGAATAATGTTTCCGGAATCCGGCTTGGTTTTCACATATTATACTATACTCTTCGGAAAACCTCTGGAGTCTCTCATTTAGAAGACTTGTAAATAACTTGCCGAAGCAACTAACTAGAGTTATCAGTCTATAATTCTTGGAATCACAAGGCGAGCCTTTGTTTTTATAAATCGGTATGATAGAACCACTCAACCACTTTTCTGGAAGCATTCCACAATCAAAAATTACATTAAATATTTTTACATAGAGGTTTAGCATTTTTGAGGAAGAATGTTTAATATATTCATTAATTATATCATCATCTGAACTTGATCTGTTACTTTTCAATTTCTTAATTGCTTTCTCAACCTCTTCCTTGCCTCCGAGTACTTTTTCTTTTGTTTATACATTTTGTAGACAAGGTAGTGATTTGAGATACTAAGTCACATGTGCATGCCTCACTAATCACCTTTTGAGCAAACCGGCCTTGAAAAATCAGCAGAGCGGCAAGACAAAATATATGGATAAAGCTCTTTTTGGGGGTGCATTTTAACCGGAGCCATCTTAAACGGAGAGGGTTGGTAATGGTCTGCCATGGTTATTCGGAAGTTTCACATTCGTACAATATTATTGAATAACATACGCCGTACATTCGGGCTAAAGTAAGTACATTTCCATAGTTTAGTTTTCGTTCACAAAAGTAGGGCATAGAAAATTATTACTGCCTCGTAGGCTGTCTGTATGAACAGACAATGACATATTTTCAATCATGAAACGATGATCGCTTTTCATTAAATGTGGCAAGCTAATGCGGATTGACCATATACTAATGTAATAGGGTCGATTTTTATTAATTCTAAGCCGCCGTTATTGGTGCATCGCGTCGTCGGTTTTCCCTTTTCGTCTTCGTAATTACTTGTGCAGGTATATATGTTGTATACGCATGTCTAGTTTACCTATGTGACGTTATACGTATATGTGTGCCCAGGTACTGTCTCGTTCTCGTTCGATGGTCTATGTTTGTCATTGGCGTGGTATTTAGTAGACAATTGACTTTTCACGGGCATGGACGTTTCGATTTTCAAAGTCGTATGCCGTGCCAATGTCCAGTATATTGACCAGGAAAATAGACTGGTACAAGACCATAGGGACTCTTGACCCATTGTCAGGGGTCTTTGACGCAATCTAAATTCGAATAAATATCAAGTGAAACCGGACAAAGGCATTCGCCTCTAATTTACTCCATTTTTTTTTTACACTAATAGCAAAATGTTAAGGTTAACTGACTGCAATCAATACTGCAGACTTCATCCAGTAAATTGACTATGCAATATACTTTGTATATTTACAAATACTCTAAAGAAAATTCGATTCGTCAGCCTTATCACATTTCAAACGGTTTTTGATATTACTGCTTTTGATATCAATCACTAGTAATCTGCAATTTATTAAATAGAATTAAGTCAAACTCGGTTTTGTCAGGGTAATAAAAATATCAACAAGTAAACAGGATAATAATCCAAATTAAAATTCAATAAAATTTAATTACGATATGAAGAATTGTTACTGAAAGGAATAGAATGTATTTTCTTGTATTCTTATTCATCCATGCTTGCCCAGACACTAAATTAATCTGCTTTCTAGATACTCGCTATATTATGTGTCGTTATCGCGTCACAGTAGAATGCTTTGGAATTATAGCTCTATCTGATTATGGCTAAAACAACAATAGTTATATTACGTGACGGGACATGTATTGTCGCTCGGGGGTATACTGATAAATTATTGGCATACTTTTGTGTTATATCCATTAGTAATTTCCATTATATTCTATATGTCAAAAATTTACTCTTCTCTCTTTATGTTGCTAGCACCTTGTTAGTAAGGTGTAATGATATTGGGTTAAACCCAGGTCCTCTATGTAACCTACAAATTTCCCATCTTAATATTAGATCCCTACGAAATAAGATTGACATTGTTGAAGCGGAGTTAAATGGTAATGATATCGTTTGTTTAACTGATTAACACCTGATATACCTGATACTGAGCTTATAGTACCTAATTACATTGAAAATCTTCATAGGTTAGATAGGAAAACAGGTCCTGGTGGTATATTGCAAAAACAATATATTCGTTAAAAGACGATGTGATCTCGAACGGGATGAGGTTGAAATGATATATGTGGAAATTCATGTTGAGTCACACAAGTTCCTGTTAGCTTGTCTAAATAGACCTGAATCACCAGTCAGCTATTTGGAAAACTAAGACTCAGTAATTAAAAAAGCTGTAAACACCAACTTAGATATAGTAATTACTGGTGATATAAACATGAACATGCTAAATCTCCACCCCATTCTAATATTGTAAGACTTATAACAAAATTTAATCTTTCAAGTTTTATCACTGAGGCCACCCGTATCACTCCAACCTCATCCACATCAATTGATATTGTCTTTCCTAATAACATTTATCTAGTTAGATATGCGTCTGTTTTTCCTCCCATATGTAGTGACCATTCTCTGATACAGTTCAATATTTCGTACACAGTCTACAAGCAACAAAGCTATCAGAAGAAAATATTTATTTATCAGGACGCAGATTATGATTAGATGAATAGATGTATTTTTAGAAAAGATTGGATAAACCTTATCAATACTAATGACTCAAATGACTTCAACAATATTCTATGTGACACTATAAAACAGCTAATTAATGAATGTATGTATGAAAGTATGTGACTATTAGGCCAAATGATAAGAAATGGATGGCAAATGATATTAGACTACTTATAAGACAAAGAAATAGGACTCGCAGGAAAACTAAAACTACTAACTCTGCTCTTCATTGGGAAAACTATAGAAAAAAAGAAATGAAACTACTAGTAAAATACGTGATGCAAAGAAATCTTACATGGAACACCTTCAACAATCATCAGCCGACAGATCTATTCCTCCTAATAAATGGTGGAAAATTGCAAGAATTGTTCTTAATATAACCCATAAATCTTCTATCCCCCACTTAATCACAATCACTCATTTATTCAACATCCATTTGACAAAGCTGAATGCTTAAATAAATACTTTCCATCAATTTCTACTACTTCTGAAAATACTGAACTCTTACCTGAAACTGTCAATGATTATCCTCACTCTATAAATAATATTGTTATTACTCAACAAGATGTTAAGGATCAATTATTTCTTTTGAATGGTAATAAACCTGCTGGACCAGATGGCATGATTCCTAAAATAATCAAATGACTGCATCCATCCATCTATTTTTCTCCCTCTCGCTCTCCTGTTTAACAAATCTTTAGAAACATCATCTTTCATTTATTCATATTTTTGTAATACATACATAAGTAGAAATTAATACTGTTGGTTTCTTGTTAAACTCAAGACTGTACAAAAGACACACGTGAATAGCACATTTTAATGCAAATTAAGTGTTTGATATAGGAGAGTCAAACAATGAATTAAACTCCATACAGTTGCTCCGGCATTCTAGGACTCGTCAGTGATGGTAAGGGTCTAAATTTTGAAGCCTACGGAGCATCTGAAGAAAATCCGAAGTAATCAAAGGAAAAGTCCAATCTAAACTTTATTTAATTTTTTATTTATTTAATTGTTGAATTTTCTATTTCTATTCCACTTTGTTCAGTCGATGCTTTAACAATAGATCGATGGAAAGTGTACGCTTATCTGTCTGCCCCGACGACGTGTTGGTGGACAGAAAGGTGTCTGTCCAGGTGTCAGGGCTAGAGGCTAGACAAAATGTGACCGTATATACATCAGTCAAGGGCGACAAAGGAGTAGCATTCGCCAGTTGTGGGTGTTACCAGGCAACAACGGATGGGCGATTGGACCTGGAGAGCATGCCTTCCTCTTCTGGAACCTACACAGGTAGGATGTTATCAATACAATTTTAGTCAGCACGTAATCCATCGAAAAAGAAAATAATTACCTAGACATTTCATTGATGTAATGGGTTTTCGTCATGTATTATGTGTCTTAAATATAAAATCGAACATCGCTTGCATAGTCTTCTTCACCCCCATCACAATACAGCCTATATCACATGTCGATCTTATATTTCTACATCAACGAAGTTTGTCTGTATTCTGCAACATACATAAAACTAACAACAAAATATAAACATATGAACATATCATAATCCAACATCGAATTCAATCAATTAGGGCAAAATATTAACAAAAAACATTCACACAGAAGACCCATAAAAAGTGCAAGGAGAATAAGACCAGGTGTTAAGGATGAGTAAACGTCTTCTGCTTCATTGATGGCATCTGTCATGTAAATCTTAGTCAATATCAATAAGTAATTACAAGTTCTCAAATGGTAATGAGGTAAACAACTGAGGTCACAGACAAACTGGTGAGCGCAAAACACGCCATGCTTCGTATAGCAACAAAGAAATTTCTCTCAATGAGATCACACTGACGGCTTTTAAACTTCCCCATAATTGTCATCAGCTTGCCGTACCGATTATCATAATTGCAAAATGAATTCAAAATGTCAATATAATGATTATTGAACGTTGAATAATGATTTCTTTAACACAGGAATCGATGGCATGGGGTTTATTTGGAGCATGCTGCCATCCGTAGGACAGCGCCCAGGCGTCCAACTTTTGCATAGTGATGTCACCAAGCCACAGATAGTGGACATTTCTGTCTACAACGGTCATCTTGGCTTTATAGATTTATGTAAAGGCCTTTCTGACTCTCCAGTGGCGAAAACAGTGCTGAAACGTTGGTATAAATCCCAAGACGTCAGCAGAATACCGATTACATCTGGGCGAATACGTGGGTCACTTTTCGTTCCAAATGGTAATAACAAAGGTAATATAAAAGAACATGTTTCAATTTTAAGCATTCAGTTCGTCTAATTGCTCATTTTAATACCATTTTTGGGGAAATGCAGTTCATGCATTCAAATATATTTTCTTAACCTTACTTATAATATTTTATCCAATTTTTTATCAAGGGAGATACCTCCAACCAAAATTGTGAAAAAGGCAGTTCTCTGACACATTGGTTTTATTTAATAATAATAATAATCGGTAATGTATAAGGTCTATTGGTGTTGAAAAAAGTTATTGAGCAGAAATGTGGTGGATTTAAATTTGAAGCTAAACATAAATGCTGTTGTTTTGTGATAATTTTATTTGTCATCTTTGATACTGATTGTGAAAAACACAATTAAAGCTGGAAGAAGGAATTTGCTTATTTGTTTTAAGACAACAATATCAGGCGTTACTTCAGAAAGTAACAGATGACTATAGAATATCACATAGTATTAACAATATGAAAAAAGACAATGTTTTAGAGTGAAAAAGCTCTAAAATACAGCAAAAGTACTATCGAAGTTCAGCAACATGCCATAGAAAATTAGCACTCTGACCTTTTCATTTTTTTTTAATTTTTCATTTTTGATACCTCTATATTATTCCCTTTAAAATTCGGTTTGGTTTTCAGAAATTTAGTCATCAGAAAATGTTGACTTTTCACAAGAGGAGATCCTGATGTGATTTTCTCTCGTGTTAAGACCAAAACTAATTACCAAATCTTCAGTATATGCATAAACATTATACTTTCCCCTAAGTATACCAAAGGCCTTTCACTTTCATCCGTTTTTACTCAGGAAATATATGCCGCCTTTCTCTTTTTATGAATTAGTTGTTTTTCTGTTTCCTCATTGTAAAGGTGACCGACAGTTCCCAGGGATAATAGATATCGTCGGCCTTGAAGTAGGTGTCATGGAGAACCGGGCTGCTCTTCTTGCATCTCATGGATACGTTGTCATGGCACTGCCTTACTATGGTTATGAAGACCTTCCTAAACACATCGTTAATCTGGATTTACAATACTTTAAGGCGAGCGCTAAGGATGACATTAAAAAACTTATATCTAACTACTTTTACTATTGTTTGTAGTATACCAAACGGCACAAATTGTTTTGATAAAGCTTGCACTTTAAGCAAAAGCGATTGTACCGCAGTCATCGAAAATTAATTCATATGTTTGTCTCTTATTAGGAAGCAGTAACATTTATGGACACACACATCCATGTCAAGCCTGGCGGTCTGGGAATTATAGCAAATTCTAAAGGGGCAGAATTCGCCCAGCTTATGGCCATCCATTGTGATAAAGTAAGATCTGTAGAGTGTGACTGTCTGATTCTTATACAACCTAACCTCACATCTATCACATCCTTGGTGTAAACCATTTTTTTGTGATATCTGTCGTTAGGGTTTCATTCCATAAAGAATTGCAGTCATGATGACGTTTTCAGCTGGGAAGTGATCTTTAAAATGTATTTTTATCAATAGGAGAAATATTTCAAAGTAAAATATATTAATCACGGGCAGTAATATCTTACAATATAAAATTGATTTGTCTGATTTTGTCCTTACACGAAGAATTACAGATAAACAGTTTAGGTGTACAAGTCGCAATTTTTATTTAATTAATTCACAAAATGTTTGTGTTTGTATTCATCTGGTAAATGAATCGGACAATAAATGTGATTATTTTTTATTTTATTTGTAGATTAAATATATGGTCAGTGTGAATGGCATGCCCTACATAACATTCTTTCCTATCAGGAATGGTGATGTATCATATCCACCTGCCGTAAAGTATGTAATTGATGTAAAACTTAACGATAAATTAATGAAATAATCACATAGCAATATCTGGTAACAAAGCGGTATCTGAAAGAAATTTAGTGACGTCACGCACCAGTGTTTTATGACATAATATTTGAGAACGTAGTCAATATGATTCACGAATACGTTTGAAACTAATTGGGGGCTGGTATGTTTGTTTTATGCATTAACTGGAATAAAACAAGAAATGTCAACATGTGAACATAATTATAATCCAACCTCGAATTCAATAAGGTAAAATATCAACAAAATTCACACAGAAAACCCCTGAAAAACGTGTTAAGGAAGAGTAAGATTCATCGGCGTCACCGACCAAGTAAATCTTAATTGAGAACAAGGACAACGAAACCATTAGGCAAACTAACGAGAGTCAGACCATCAAACTTCACTTCGCATTTAGAAATAGAATATATGTCAATGAGCTCAATATGACGACTTGAAAACTTCTCCATAAACAATCGTGATATTGGGAACATGCCCTTGAATATCGTATTAAATGTGACATGCTATCTGGAAAACATATCATCCTTACATCCTTTACCATAATTTCGGAACGAATGTTTTAGAATAGGGATAGGAAATTCTACTCAAAGAAGACCGTTCTGATTTAAATGTCGTTTTCCGGTTTCACTCATATTAGATTACCTTAAAGATTTGTTGTCCCATTGCATGGTGATAAGAGACAATTGAATTCGTATCTAAATATATTCTCGTTTTTCGAAAAGGCTTTAATCTTCTTTATGTCTCCCAAGACAACGTCTCACTTTTGAGCGTTCGTCGTAGTGAGGAGGGCTTTGGGTTCTGTCCCCACGGCAAAGTCATAAAAGAAACTTTAAGAATTGTTACTAGTCCATGCTAACGTTCAGTAATGTAACGACTGGTTTGCCCGTTGTCAATATATTGTATGAATTGTGATCAGACGGGGTGCCCTGTTTGGGGCCTTCGGCAGTATTCTTTAGCACTATAAAATAGCACATACCGATATATACGTAACGAATTGTCTACAACGCATGTATTTATCAGGTATTCCATTAAACAAGGCTATGCATCATTATGTTTTGATAGTTATTCCGTTGATCAGAATATTGTTGTACTGACAGCAATTGTCATGATCTATCTGGTTATGATTCAGAATGTCATCTGATATATTTAACACTACGCTATATAAGGAACATTACGTGAAATACGAAAGGTTGCTTTGTCGCCTCTGTGTCTTGTCCATTGTATTTATTTCAGTTACTTATTCAGAATATTGCAACAATATATGTGTCGTTTTCAGACTGGATCTCTCCTCTTGTGATTTTACTGATGAAGGGGTTGTCGGCAGAAAGGGTCACATCCTTGACACTGAAAAATTCATCAAAGTACAAAACACTTTATTTAACCATTCTATTTCATTGCGTATACCACAATCTCGGTTCATTTTTTTCAATTTATGTGATAAACGTTGTTAGAAATCATTATTATACTATTTTTACTGTCATGTTCCTTAAACGAATCAAACACTAAAATATTTTATATTTTATCTAAAATTCCTTAACTTTACACTTCATGCCTGTTTGATCGATTTATTCATTGTTTATATAGCTAAAATAACAGCTATCAATAATAGAAAAACAAAAATGAATACATTATATAACATGTTGATTAGTGATAAATTATTGACAAGAGTTAACAAGTACATAATATTGATTTCTAAAGCCTCATCAAAAGCTGGACAATGTGTGAATATATCAAAATAGTAGTAAACATTGTCTTTATAAAGGTATGGGAATCAGACGTAAAAATCCTGAGTATTTGTGGTTCTGATGACCTCAACCTCCATCCTGATCTCCAGCAGCTTCGGGTCGACTGTTTTCCCCCCGACAAACGTGACAACATAGAACTTGTGACGTACAAGGGAGCAGGGCACTTAATAGAGCCTCCTTTTACCCCCCACTGTCGGGCCTCTTATAACAAACTGATACGTGAGTATCGAGCATTTAGCTGATTTTAACATCCTTTATTGCAAGTCATTGTGATTTTTCTTCAATATTTTTTCCATTCCGTAATTCTTAATAGGTTCAGTTGTCTCAATGAAATGATTTTTCATGATGTATACTGTTAATGACAATCTTTTCTAAACAACATAAGCAACCACACAATAAAACAATTCGTTCAGAAAAAAACGAAAACAAAACAATCATTTTGATTTACATTTCATTTCCATTGAAATCTACAACCTTGTCTTCCTTTCGATTATAGAAAACAATTTGGTATGGGGTGGAAACCCAATCGACCATGCATATGCACAAGACGATTCCTGGAGACGTATTCTTCACTTCCTCACTAAACATTTCCATGGAGAGGACACGGTTTCTAAGTTACATAAATTATAAATTTGATATAACAAAATTTGTGACGATAATTGGTCAAAATAGGAAAATGTCATACTTTAACCAATGCGACACATCATGTATGTGTTACTTTTAACCATGGATTTGTTATATCAAATTAGATTTGTCACGATGCGGTTTTTAAGAAAAGAGCAGTTTTAATATTCATCTTTTATGGTTTCATCTCAAAGATTTGAAAGAAGTTGCAAGTCGAGGGCGTGCAGCTTTAGAAAGGCGTGGAAACAGACTATCGTCAATAAAGCGATTGGTTTTATGTCAGTTATTGGATTTTAATTTTTATTTAAAATAATATACTTTGTCTAAGCATTGAAGTATTTGAAGATTCAATAATTTTGACAAAATTATATATTCACATACATTGAATATTTAGTCGATATTTGGTCGGATTTATCAATGTTTTGAATACCTAATGGTAATGTGAAGGGTAGGAATCCATTTATTATTGTAATCATAAATGTCATAATGATAAAATTTATCAACTAGTGTATTTCCATAATTAATTTAATTAGCATGCAATAAAATTTTCTTGAGTTTTGACAAGGACATTATATATATGTCAGTAACCTTTTAACAACGTCAACAGTTCGTCATGAACGTGAATTAGACAAAATATAACAGCTGCGAAATTAAGGAAAGTACAAAGAAAAAGTTACGTTTTATTTTGATTCACAATAATGTATTAAGAATAACTTAGGTACTGCAGGATAAAACAATTGACAAAAAAATTTGACGATGTTCTTCAGAAAAAAGGTTGTCCATTCATACTTACCTTGATATGATTAATATTCTGAAATTATATTATTGTATTAAGAAATGATAGATATCGATACGTTATATTAATGTTTTCGCTGTAACCAGTTGTCAAAAATGGATATCACCAATTATACCGTTCCATTCCCAACTTACACAGCGATGTGGGGATCCCGTCCAAGTATTATTAGGCATTATTACATGCACTTCACACGCTTCCGTTAGAATTCAAGTGAAGGAAAGGAAATCAAATATAATTGTTTTCAGTGAAAATTCTTTGTGGGACGACACACAAACGAGCATACGAAAACAACATGAAATTACCAAAACATCTATTCTACTCGTAAATCACACTTATAAAACGAACTCGATGACTGCAGTTTTCACTTATCAACAAGGGAATATTAATGTCAACGAAATCGTAATATACATCTCGCGATTTACATGGCAGGTTTGTTATTGTGCATGCAGGTAAGGCATCCAATAACTTAATCATTCTCTGCAGACATTATTATTATATATTACATTTCCTGCATACAAAATGAACAAGACCTGCTTTCTAATGAAGGAGACCTCCCTATATTTTTCGATCAAGCTTTAGTAATACGACCTCCCTTGTTTATATTGAATTTCTAAACAGCATAAAATCTTTACACATTATTTCATTGATCCTTTGTTAGAGTTTCCTACTACCATTCTTAGTTCTACTAAATCAGAGTTTAAATCTTATTGTGCTACTTGTTATTCAAGAAGTGGAGTCAATGGTATTAGGATTATATATATATATAGATTTTTATATAAAGAATTTTTACCAATCTTCAACAGGGTCTTCTACAAAATTATTTCTACTATATAAGAATTTTTTATTTTTCAACTCTGTACACCACTATACCTCATTCGAGAAAGAAAGAACACCTTCCTCCTCTTGCTATGAGATATTTCTTCCCCAGGAAATGTGGACGGAGGTACAAATATATGGCTGTGAACCATACTGAGCGTGACAAATACGTCCAAATCAAGGAAATAATATATGAAGAAGGAAATCAGAAAAATGATAGAATTTCTGATCTCCTGCCTAATTTGTTCTTGTTTTCATAAGAAATTGAATTTATTATGAGCTTATCGAAACAGGTCACAAGAATCTTGCTAAGTCCTTTAATTCTAGTGGGTATGGTCAATAACGTTATTGTTTATAAGTGACAAAACATGATCAATATATCTGAAAGTGAAATTGAAGTTCACCAACGAATAGCACATTTAAATGCAAATTTATGAATTAAACTGCATTATACAGCTATGTTGTCCTTCCGGGGCTTGTTAATAACACCAAGTGCTTACAAATTGAAACTTAGCAACAGCCGAGGAAAATCAGTTGTGTATTTCTCTCAAGGCAATCTGAAACAACTGCATTGACATATATTTAAACTTAACATTGTTAAGTGTTTTATTTTTTTCCGATCCTTTTTGTTTCACAAACATAACGAAACTTTGTGTGTCAATGTCCGACACTTCCTCTATGGAATTCTTAATGGTGAAATACAAAACAGGAGTTATATAAGCGACATTGTAAAAGAAGATGAATTGCTTTGTGATTGTAAGTTGAATAAAGTGACATTGAAATGAAATTTTTGTGATCTAATTTGCTTAATTGTTTTCACGAAAAAGTGTCATTTTGACTTTTTTGAACAGCATTAATCAGCGAATATATTGTTGTCTATGTGTGTCCCTGGGAAAAAGTAAGAAGGAGAACGTTATACAATAGACGATAAAACGCTATTAGACAAATGTAGACAATAAGATATTAATTAAATTTGTCGGGCTGTATCGTGGAATATTTTTATTATGTTTCTTTCCTATTTGACACGCACTCAAAAAGGCATATATAGTGAATGTGCTAAAACATTTTAATCAACCTGCAATAACGTCACAAGTGATTTATAACAAGCTGACACATACATATGCAAATTGATGAAATAATTTGCTAATTAGTAAGTTTTTGGTAAAATGATGAACAGTACCGTTGCCGCTCACTTGTAGAGAGACCGCGAGGCCTGCTACACAGTGAGGATGGTCCTTCCGACTGTCGCCTGCTGTCTGGTGCTACTCATTTTCTCCATATCAGGTAACATTATATTTCACGTATAAATTACTAATTTATCGTTCCTTCTAAATACTGTCATAAGTTCAGTCACATACAGTTTCTTTAAATGATAAATCCCCTTCGTATAGACATTTGTTTTATAAAAATGAAGATTTGTCCTAAGTGTTTTAGATTATTTGTACTTGATATTATAGAATACGGGAAATCCCTTTTAGGCACCCGGTATGGCCCCTAGGTCCTTCCAATTTGTCCTGTTTTAGATGATTTGTACTGGATATTATAAAATACGGGAAATCCCTTTTAGGCACCTGGTATGGCCCCTAGGTCCTTCCAATTTGTACAGTAAGGTGTAATCGTTTACATCATCGTCTAATATAGTCAAGGTAAACCACGAAGCGATTAATCAATGGCGCACACTCCATTTATTGTAATGTAATGTTAAAGGAACTGGTCATGAATTAATCTATCTAGAACCGAGTATAAAGTTTGGAGGGACAGTTCCTCCCCTGCAATTTTCCTATATTTGATTTGTACATTTAACACATTTTAACTTCCTAAAATCGCTGAACTGCATAAAGCATAAAATCTCTAATTAATGCAAATATTCAAGACAACATCTGTCACAAATACTACATCCTTTTTCACATTGTTTCCGGCTTTTATAAGTGCAGATATAATGCACGTGTTGATGCTAATTATGAGTACTGGTGTACTTGTTCCAATATTTTATCTTCATATGTGAAGAAAGTGGTGGCGGCTGCATTTCCGTTAATCTAGCTAGCAATTTTTAGACCATATACATAGTAAAAAGAATGATATTTACAGTCAGAAGATCACGGATTATGAAAACACAAAATAAGTTAGAAAGCATCCGCATGTGTGTTCTTCTCAAAAGCAAATAAATTAATAATTGGCATTGTAAAAAGTAATTTCTACATGTATATTGTTATGTAACCTTCCAAAGTAAGTGTTAACAGAATACATTACATAAGTAGCTAAAAAAAAGCTCGAACTCACTATGCAAGCTTCTTGGTATGTTTTTGAGAGTGTTGAACTTATGACAGCACAGATGAGGGCTACCCATATCGAGGCCATCGACGCTGAGTAAAATGTGTACATTTAAGATAAATCACAAAATCTGGGAAACCGAATTAATATTTCATGGCTTTTTCTTTTATAATATGAATTATTTTACAGCTAAATATAGCAAAACGTTTAGAGCACAATAAAATAAATTGATGGATGTTTTTATTTCCCTAAACAATGCAAAGCTCTAGATCCGCCAACCAATCCAAAGCGGCACAACAAACTAGGAGGACATTTTATGTAATGGAGTTATAACTAGCAAACAGAAAGACTTGTTTCAATTAGGTCTTAATTATCTAATTAAATCATGTATTGTGCAAAAGAAAAAGGCAAAAATGAAAACAATTTTGATTTTCTTAGATGAATTTTGTAGTCACCATAATATTTTGGCCTAAATTGAAAGTTTTATATTTAGTGATATGGTGCTCGAACTCTAGAGTTGATATCTTGAATCTTGAAAAGATAACATTTCTTGTGGATTTTCTAACTGTTTCAGTAAAGACATGCATATTTACTGAAAGTTATAAAATAGAAAAAACTATATATTTTCTGCAATATGCCAGATTGATACTTAACGAGAATTTCTCGTTAAATAGTCGTCATATCTTCTAGAAACCGGTTTACAAGGCATTACCGCTTATTTTTGGGATTGTAATTATTTCCGGTATGTAAGTAATGTTTTTGATGAGTTTGCAATAGATTGGAATACTAGCCAGAAATAGAACTTCAGAATTATATCACAAATATTCACCCAGATTACGTTTTGTACAAATACTTTCTGAAATTAGGACACCGCCAGCTCTTCTACGTCAGTCTCATTTTACTATCCTATCCTACAACGATACCAACAAGGACAACTTTCCCCCAAGCGAAATGCAAAGAATTTGGCTTTCAATTTCACTCAAATGAAATTTTCATTTCAAGAGAGAAACATTCTTGCTTCCCCGAACTATGGTGTTTAAACGTTGTATTTGATACAAATACAATACAAAAGAGATACATGCTGGTAAGAAAATGGTAAAGTATTATTACCGTTGTGATGTTC